AATACAAACATTAAATTCATTTTTGTATTTTATACACAATATTAATAATAATACAATTATTCGTAATTCCAATAATAATTCATTACCTCCTTTTCACGTGCGAAAAATAATTTCGTGGTGGATGACGCTGCTACCCTGAACTGTGTTTTGAATTTTATTGCCTGCCCTGTAATATTCGACAATACCGTTACAACACGCACGTTACATACTTTTGAGGTTATTACGTTCGTCAAATTATTCGTACGAAAATAGCAATATATTTCTCAAATGATAAATAGTACATTCTCGTACGTACCTTGATATTTAGATTAAAAAATTTTCTTGCGAATCTGTGAATCTTGTCAATTTCAATAAAAAAATCACTCGAGAAGATTTCCGAACGAGGCTGTTTGTTACTCTGCCTCTTGTATACTAACGGTGCCTGCAGCTGTTAGTCAACGTTGCCACATTCTATCGCACAATCTGGTAACTCCGCTGGACCGCCGGACCACTGTTCACTTACATATAATATACGATACGAACCTTTTTCTAATACTCTCACTAAATATGAGTCAGGACCGTTTTAGAGAAGTGAAAGTTATCTCAATTGAACAGAGTTATTTTTTTGAGACAGACTTTGTACAAAAAAATGATTTTATTATAATTTTCTTATTACATTTGTTAATGTCACATTACATTTCTCTTTTATAGATGATTTTAACTGTACATTTTCCCATAAAATTGCCTATATTCAACAATTGCCGAAAACACGAATTTCGAAAATGGAGTTTTTTCAGTTTTTCCCGTTTTTTGGCACTTTTTTTGCAAAGCAATGTATATATATCCATACACCATCTGAAAGTAGACGTTTCAACGAAGAAAACCCTATACTGTAAATTTCGAATATCGGGAATTTTTACATTACTTTTTTAGGTTGACGTTATGGGTAATTTTTCGGTTTTTTATTAATATTACCTTGGAAAATTAATTTTTTTTTCGAAAAAATTACAGCTTATTTGGGACATAGAAAGGTAAGTCTCCTGTAAATTTCATGAAAAAAACAAAATTTTTGCGCGAGAAAAAAATTAAAAACGAAAAACACGGTTCTTTCCATTTTTCTCAGAATCTTTGAGGTTATGTGAAAAATGATATATACAAAAGTTTTAGATCCTTTTAATACCTACAACATTGCCATACAACATTTTTCGATTGGAGGTCAACTTTCGCCGGAAATGACGCTATGATCTTTTTCTCGCGGTGTCGGCTAACGCGGCTGATCAGCTGGTAATAATCTAATTTTAGAACTGCCGACTGCGGCAGTCTATTATTCGTTACGCGCGGTTCTCTATCGTGGGTTCGCGTATTCGTATCAACTCGGGCGATGACCAGCGGCCGAGAACGCTCGGCAGAGGTGGAGAACTCTCAACCCCGGACGACTGCTGGTCGATCGCAGTGCGAGATGCAAGACGTGGTCGGCGCGGGCCAACGGTCGAGTACGCTCGACGGAGGCAGAGTACTCTCTGCCCCGGACGTTGGTCGTTGTGCGCTGCACCGAAACGGCTGCCGAGAACGCTCGGCAGAGACAGAGCACACTCTGCCCCTCGGTTCCTGCCGTTCGGTGCTATAGGACGCCTATTTCGATACCTGCCGAGAACGCTCGGCGGAGCTGGAGAACTCTCCGGCCCGGTTTTCCTGGTGTCGCTAGGCTTTAGGAAGTCGGATTCGTTGCTAGGATCTGGTCGGGGGGGGATTTTTCAAATAGGGTTGCGTTTCAAGTCCGACGATTGTTCGGCGCGCAAGTTGGGGGGGGGTGGGGGGCAATACATACATTACTATGGATAAATATTGCAAAGAATATTACTACGTCGACCCGCCATCAGAGGTCTATAGATGTTCGCAAATTCACGCAAGTGCTGAGATACGCGTATATCTCTTTATATAGAATCTCGAATTAATAACTTATACCGGCGTATAAGGTAGGCTTCCATTACAATACCTTACTGATGAGTCCAGTAAGGGCTCAGTCAGACGAGCGATTTTGTAGCGCCACAATCGCAAACGTCGACCCGTTCATACGGAGCTATTTTCTGGCGCTACAGAAAAGCGTCGCGAATATGTTCACATGAGCCAATTCGTGACGCGACGAAAAACGTTGCGGATGCGTTCAGATGGGCGAATTCGTGGCGTGACAGAAAAGCGCTGCGAATGCGTTCAGACGAAACATTTCGTGGCACGACAAAAAAGCATCTCAGGTCCGTAATTCTCGATTGACAGAATTACGCTGTGCGTTTATACATTACGTAAATAAATCAAAATTAAAAATTAAGTTTATTATAATTCATCCATTGTTAATTGCAAATATTATTTTAAGAGAAACTCTATTGTGGGGAAGAATGCCGCCATTAGACACAGAACGATTTATAATAGAAATAGAGGCTCGACCTGCTATTTGGAATACCAAATGCAAAGATTATAGTAACAAGATCACAAAAATGAAGGCATGGGAAGAAATTTGTACATTATTCACCGAACGCTTTCAAGAAATGGAAAATGCAGAAAAAAGTCAAGCAGGTGATATATGTGTATATATATAGACCGAATATATATATATATATATATATAATTTTTGTACCGACCGTAAATTGTCTACAAACAATGAAGGAATTAAACGCCTATAACGGTCAAAGCTGGATCAAAGTGCTAATAATAAGTATGAGTGAATTCTTATATACCACATATGTAGCCCCCCCTTTTAAATGCGCGCTGATACATCAGATATATAACGCATAAATACTACAGTAGTATTATAATATCACCGAATAATACTTGATTAATTTAAATATAAGGATGATAATTTAAAATTCGTAAATACATCGGATCTCAATAATCTTATTCTTTATATTACGAAAAATATCACAAGTTGGCGTTTCGTCCAAATTATAGTTAGTTTAACTCGCGCGGCCTGAAAAATGCGCTTTAATTACATATTTAAATATTAAGAATATTACGAAGAATATCACTACGTCGACTAGCCAATAGAGGTCTATAGTTACTCATTCCAAATGTGAGAGAAAGAGATACGACTGATTTAGACGACAGCTTGAATGTTACTGAACTTGAAACAGTTAATGCAAATATAGAAGAAACAGTTAGAAAAGTAGAAGAATCAGCGATAACAATTCGAAAAATATTTGCTGATTATTTTTATAGTGAAGGAGCCTTACCTTGGCAATCAAAATATTATTGAGTTAAAGTAAAATGTTAAGTGAAAAGAGTTGTTAAAAATGTTAAACAAAATGTTAAATATATAATAAAGAATTGAAAGTTAAACTTCACCTGGTTGATTTCTTTCTGTATTGTCCATTTCTCCGAAGCGTTCTGTGAACAAAATACAAATATCTTCCTATGCTTTCGTTAAATTAGTTTATAAATTGCACATTGAAATAAAACAAAACTTAGTGAATCAGTAAATAATCGTTATATTAATGAAAATTAATTAACATTGATATTAATATTTATTTAATGATCATCATTTGTTAAATATATTAAATGCGACTTTTTATTGAAAAATGTCTTCATAAATTGAAGTATCAGACGCAGCAGAAGACATAACAGGAGACGCAACAGGAGACGTAACTACCGTAACATCTTCATGATCAATTGTAATAGGAGACGAAATAATAGAAGTAGATGTAGTAGTTGTAGTAGATTGTATTGGTTTGTTCATATTTTTAAAATTATAGGAATCAGGATGATATATGTTGTACAGATGGTATTGGTCTTGGTAGTCAGCATAAGATGGGGGTGATTGATATCTCTTAATGAGATTCATAATACCTATCTGTAAATCTAACTTTGCACGTTCAGGTACCATTTTATATTGTGGAAGCAGAGAAAGTAACAAGAGCTTATCATTATCGTGATTTTCTTCCAAAAGCTTTGTTCGTTTTTCCATATTAGAAACCAAAACGTTAAGTACTTGCTGCTCTTCTGATATTTTCTTTTTTTTTTTTTAATGGTGTTGTAACTGTTTGAGAAGTATTTGCTTCATTTTCTGACTCGTTATCAAAAGACTTCAGAGGTTTCGTTTCGCTTACTGACATTAGAAAGGAAAGTTGTTGAAAATAAACGTATTGTTTCTTATTTGAATCAGCAGCTGAACCACTTTTTGATTTTTTCATTATATTCAGTTCTCTGGAGAAGGAATTTCCCAAACTTTTCCATTTACGCTGAAGAATTACAGCTATAAAACAAATACGTTATTGTGCTTGTTCGTGGTTGTGTGAATCGCTGTTTAGATCTCGACTGAGATCTCGAATGACGGAATGGATTGGTGGACTGGAAGGTTGAGATCACTGAGCACTTCTCTTTTAACTTGTATGCAAGCTTTATTCACAAGTAAACGAAGTGTTAGTCGCGTGGCACGGCGAGAGAGACGATTAACTGCTGTTAATACGCCGAGACTCATACACGACGGTAGCCGTGATGAGACGTACAAAAGTAACGAGTCGCGGTAGCGAACCCGTAGAAAGAAAGCTGCTGCTTTCAACGAGGAATTTGAGAACACGACTTGACACGGCAAGTACTGATTTGTGTCTGAGGGGAGAATCGCGCTGCGCGATTAGCGCGACAAATCGGCAGGACGACAGCGACATCGGTATCCAAATATGCGGCTAAATTGTAGTAATGATATTCGCAAGACGGCGCGGTGAGTGCGACGAAAGATTCACGGACAGAATCGATGGATGGCGCAATCGATCCTTTATTCGGCTTTTGTAGCGCGAAACTTGTCCTATTCCGGAACATACTGCCCGCCTCGGCTAGACTAGCCGAAACACGATTATTTGATGCCGCCCGCCGTGCCAATCGAGTTTAAAACTATATGATACATGACGCTTTACTTAGATTTAGAAAGATACATAGAAATATTTACATAGAGAGGTATATGAGAACATTAACTTATTATACAGTAAGTTCGAGCGAAAGGAGTTCGATCAATGAATGCCACGAAAGGAAATCGATCATGTGGACGTTTCGTTTAAATCAACGGGTAAGAAACATAGCTTCACTATGGAACGTTTATACGTCGATTTTGACGTTTTCACAGTGACGACGCGCGTTAGACCGTCGTCTCCGGTGTGGCATTCAATGATACGACCGAGTTCCCACTTGCACGGTGGTGCAAGGGGATCGCGCAAAAGAACTAAGCGTCCGACTCGGGCTAGTTTTTGAGCGACGCACCATTTTGAGCGCTGTTGTAATCCGGTTAAATAATTATTTGACCAGGCTTTCCAAATAACTTCGCTTTTTTGCTGCACGAGTTGCCAGCGAGTCAGGCGCGTTTCTTTTGTTTCTAATAGCGTAGGAGATGGCGGCGTTGTGAGAGCGCTACTAATTAAGAAATGACCCGGTGTCAGACATGAATAATCATCAAGATTATCTGACATCGGAGCTATCGGACGTGAGTTGAGGCACGCTTCGATTTGATAGAGCAGCGTCGTAAGCTCTTCGAATGTCAGCGTGTGTGAACCGATAACGCGTTTGAGATGATATTTGACGCTGCGAACGCCGGCTTCCCATAGGCCTCCGAAGTGAGGCGCGGAAGGGGGAATGAAGTGCCAACGGACACCGTCGCACGATAGTTTGCTTCGCAAGTTTGAATCTTGTTTTGCTGCATGAATTGCAGCTTTCAATTCGCGATCAGCTCCGCGAAAATTCTTTGCGTTATCGGAATATAAATCGGTCGGCATCCCGCGCCGAGAGCAGAAGCGCGCGTATGCTGCGAGAAACGCGGCGGTAGTATAATCGCTGACTAAATCGAGATGTATTGCGCGCGTCGTCATACAGACGAATACGGCAATGTAGGCCTTCTGAGATTTGTATCCACGGCCTGAAGTTAATCTGACAGGAACGGACCCGGCATAGTCAAGTCCGCAATGTAAGAATGCGCGATCGACTTGTCGAATGCGCATTGCCGGGAGATCGCCCATGAGTTCACTGGGGATAACCGCCTTTTCGCGCGTGCAAGTAATGCAACGATACAAGACGGCTCGCACAGTTTGACGAGCGCGAAGAATCCAAAATTCTTCGCGTAAAACACATAATGTTAGTTGCGTGCCCGCGTGGAGCGAACGCAGATGAGCGTGTTGAATTATCAACGTAACGAGTGGATGTGCTGCTAGAATGAGAGGACATTTAGCGTTATATGAAAGGTCGGATTTTCGTAATCGACCGCCTACGCGAATTAAATTATCGTCATCCAAGATTGGATTTAGTGAGATTAGTTTGCTAGTTTTCGCTACGGGTTTCGAATTTTTTAATCGACGTACATCATCGAGAAAAAGATTTTGTTGAATGACGCGTAAACAAAATAGTTGCGCGTGTTTGTATTCGTCCACCGAAATTATATCGGATGGAATAGAATCGGATTCGTCGTTTGACGACCGCTTTTTGTATATACGATTTCGAAGCTTATTAATAAAGCGGATTAGATAGGCCGTTATGCGAAGAAGCTTCGGCCATGAAGAATAGCGGGAAGCTAAGTCCCATTGAGATTCGATATCGAGAGTTTGTACGACGAGGGTCGAACGTTTTTCGAGCGAGGTGTCGTGATCTTGCCGAGATTCATTCGGCCACATACTTGAAGGAAGCTTGAGCCACTCGGGGCCTTGCCACCACAGTGAGCTCTCCGCGAACGAGGAAGCGGTAACTCCGCGTGATGCTAGATCCGCGGGATTCTGATGAGTCGGAACATGATGCCACGTGGCATCAGGTATTAGAGTTTGCACATCGTGCACTCGATGCGCGACAAACGTTTTCCATCGAGATGGAGATTGGCGTAGCCAAGAGAGAGTGACGGTTGAATCCGTCCAGCAATGACATGGAATTGTCGAAAATTCTAATATCGTTCGGGCAAACGACATTGTTCGTGCTAAAAGCGCAGCAGCGCATAGTTCGAGTTTTGGAATTCTCAAGGGCTTAAGAGGCGCGACTTTGGATTTTGCTATTAATAGCGAAATAGTAACTGATCCCATGAGCGAGATCACTTTAAGATATATGACAGCGACGTATGCGACGGACGATGCGTCAGCGAAGCCGTGAAGCTCACAGTGACTTGTGTCGGAACCGAAGGCAGTCCATCGTGGCAAAGAGATATTACGCAGTTTAATTAGCTGCGTGTGATAATTGTTCCATTTTTGCATGAGAGGGGGTGGAATTGGATCATCCCACGAACACTTAGTAGCCCATAATTGTTGCATGATAATTTTAGCAGTAGTTATGACCGGAGCAAGCCACCCGAGCGGGTCAAATAATTTTGCTATAGTAGACAGAATTTTCCGTTTAGAATCTGGGATCGACGTGGTAACTTCGACTGAAAATTGGAATGTATCGGTAGCAGGGAGCCACGTGACGCCTAAGACTTTGAAACTTTCGTCGCTTTGCAGAATTTTGCCTTGACTGAGACTCTTTTCATTGACCGGTAGGTCGTTGAGTAACGTAGGGCAGTTGCTTGCCCACTTACGGAGGAGGAATCCACCTTTTTGTAACAATGAAATTAATTGATTGCGGATTTGCCTTGCAAGCGGCTTGTCATCCGCGCCGAAGATGCAATCATCTACATAGATTTGATTGCGTAAAACTGATTGAGCAAGAGGAAATTGAGCGCCTTCGTCTTGCGTCAATTGCTGAATCGTGCGAAGAGCGAGGTATGGAGCACACGCCATACCGTAAGTAACAGTAAGCAAGCGGTAGTCTTGCACCGCTTCGGATGATGAAGAGCGCCATAAGATGCGCTGATAATCTTGATCTCGCGGATCGACTTGAATCTGCCTATACATTTTTGCGATATCGGCAGTGAAAACATAACGATGTTGTCGCCATCGAAGAATTACCGAACGAAGGTCGGTTTGTAACTTAGGACCGATCATGAGATGATCGTTAAGTGAAGAGCCGTTCGATGTCGACTGAGATGCATTGAACACGACGCGCAACCGCGTGGTGCTGCTATGCTCGCGAATCACCGCATGATGCGGGATGTAAACTGATTGTGAAGCAGAGACGGGTTCGTCTACTTTCTTCATATGACCGAGATTTTCGTATTCCAGTAGGAACTCTCGATATTCGGATGCGATATCCCTTTTATTTTGAAGACGGCCTTCAAGCCGTGAAAGAAGTGATGAGGCGATGTGACGAGATTCGCCTATTGCAATCGGAGGATTGGCTTTGAACGGTAGCCGTACGACGTACCGTCCATTAGAGTCACGAGAATGAGTTGCTCGGAAATGTTCCTCACAACGTTGTTCCTCAGGAGTGAGGTATGATACTTGCGGAAGTTCTTCGACTTCCCAGAACTGACGAATTTCGTCATCGAGATTGTCGTGCAACGTGGTATGATTAACTGTCACGTTAGACATGTTTGAAGACGAACTCGTCGAAATCGGACCAGACATGATCCAGCCGAAAATGGAATTCTGAGCTGTTGGCTGATTAGAGGAACCTGAGCACAGGCCCGGTAACAGAACAGCACCGTATAGATCAGCGCCGATGATCATTTCGATCGGATCGGCACTTGAGGGCTGCGGATCAGCCCATGGCAGGCCGCTTAAATGAGCGAGAGAGATTTGATATGCTATTTTAGGCGGCGTGTATTTAGTCAGAGAGCGCATAATAATTGCGGTCGTTGAGTATGACGGACCCTTGCCGGTCTTAGATGATACCGAAATAAGAGCAGCATGTCGTGCGACGGATTGCGTTTCACCGATTCCGGTAACCGAGACAGCAACGCGTGTTCGCGATAACCGTAGCCGTTGAGCGAGATTTTCACTAATTAAACTAGTGACAGATCCTTGATCTAACAATGCGCGTATGACATCTGTGCGACCAGACGAAGAACACACCTGAATCCGCGCGGTAGCTAATAGAACACGAGATTTGTCAAATGTTGTTTTCGTAATTAAATGTGAAACGACGTTGTTTTCATTTGACGTATTCGTTTCGTTGGATTCAAGGGAATTCTCGGTCGCGCTTGATGTCGTCGCTTCGTGAAGCATCGTATGATGCCTTTGTTGGCATTGACGACAGTTATGTTTACTCGGACATGTGTTCGCGAAATGTCGAGCGCTTAAACAGTTGAGACATCGTTTAAATTTGACAATAAGATCGCGACGCTCGTTAACCTGTTTCTTCTTGAAATCAGGACATACTGACAAGAGATGATCTTGTTTACAAAGCGGACAATGAGCTCCGGTAGCGGTCGTCGTGTGACTTTGCACGGACGACTTGCTCGGTTTTGTTTTGACCGTACTGGTCGTTGGAATATTCTCGAACGCTCGAATTCGCGATGCGAGAAAGTTATGAAGATCCGTATACGACGGATATTCCGTTTTATCGCCTAAATGTAATTCCCATGCTTTATGCGTGGCTTTATTTAATTTTTGTACGACGAGATAGACGAGCAAATCGTCCCACCACTCAACTGGACGACCGAGATTATTTAACGCTTGAATTGACATATTAGCTTTATCTCGAAGCGACATAAGATCCTGCGCGGAATCGGTATTAACGGCCGGTAGCGTATGAAGCGTATGAATATGTTCCGACACTAATCGACGTTTATCATCGTAACGCGCGAGCAGTACATTCCACGCGATTTTAAAATTAGCTTCGGTCAAAGGGAGATTACGCAACGCGTCGCGTGCTTCGTCCTTTAAACATGAATAAAGGTATTGCAAGCGCGTAACATTCGACAACTCGGCATGATCGATAATCATGGAGCGGAATTGATCGCGAAACGTTTCCCATTCCCGTAAATCGCCGGAGAATTTCGGCAAATTAATGCGCGGCTGTGTAAGAGTTTTTTCGGATTTCTGTGATTGACTCACGGATAACCCTGGACTTGATGGCGCTTG